TTTACCATGTCAAAACTGGGTCTCAAGTGGAGTCTGAAAATCCAATGCATAACTTTTCGATTGGAAATTGATGTGTGATCCTACTTTGATGATATTTCATCCCTTTGACTTCTTTCTTCATTCATTTGACTTCTAACACTCTCAAATCTTCATTGTGAGGTTCAACATGGCTTTTGATTATTTGCACTTTAGTCCCCGAACTTTCGCTTTCTTTGAACTTTGGTCCATTTTCACCTATTTCTTCCAAATTACACCATGTCCATCGAATTGCCACCTAAACCAAAATATGAGAATATTAAGTACATTTAGGCATAAAATAGTCATATGAGCGCATTAAATAAATATGCAAAATGTGTATTTTATATTCCTATCAAGGGTATATATAAATTAATGTTAATTATTATTATACACGTAAATAAATAATTGAATTGTATAAAAAGTTCATTTCACATAAATAATTTTTTAACTATTTTTTATATTCACAAATTTTCAAATATCATTTTTACGGCGTTTATAAATCATTTCAAAATAACATGCAATGCACGTTTAGCTGTAACTAGTGTGTTTATGTGTACTGATCTGCGTGTACGTGTACATAGTGTATATGGAAACGGTGTCGATCTGTGTGTGTGTGGTGGTGCTGTTGCAGTGGTGGTGAAGTGGCGGTAGTTGTTGGTGCGGGTATGTGTGGTGGTTCATTTGAGATGGTGACGATGGTTATGATGATGATATACATGCATGTGTATATGGTGGTACGATTGCAATGGTGTCGGTGGTAGTGAAATGGCGATAGTTGTTGCTGGTGGTGGTTCGTTGAAGGTGGTGGTTATAGTGTTGGTGGGTTGTGAGTTTGAGGCGACGACAATGTTTTGGATAGTGTCGATGGTGGTCGGGTGAGCCGGGAAAGGTGAAGGTTAATTTGTGATTAGTTAGTTGGGAAATTTGTGATCGATAATAAGTTGTAACCAATTAATTTGATAGTTTGTGATTGAAAAAAAAGTTGTAACTAATTAATTTCATAATCTATGATCAATAAATAAGTTGTGACTAAAAAATAAGTCATAACCAATTAATTTGATAATTTGTAATTGATGAATAAGTTGTGACATATGAAATTTATGATTTGAAGTTTTGTGATTGTGACTATTATGTAATTGTAATCATAAATTGCATATTATTGCGACATCAACATATTTAATTAATAAAATATTTTTAATTATCTATTTAATTAATACCACTAGAATTTTTGAAAGAATTTGACAAGTTTGTCAATTTCAAAAGTGTATATATAAATGTTGGTAGTTTTAAATAAAAATTCAACATTAAAGTTTTATTTTCAAAATTCAGGTGATGAATAGCATTTTAATTCTTTTAATATATAATATAATTTTATTAATTTTATTTTACCATATTTTCCCATTAATTTTACCTCATTCCCACCAATTATTTT